TTATCGACGAGAAGAGAAACGACGAACAAAACAACGTCTCTCAAACTACGCACCAACACTCCAGTTTTCATCGATCCAGTCAGCATGCATGTACCACGAGCTCCCTCCGGACTGGTGAACAAAACTGGTCCAACCAAGTCATTCGGAGGGGGGGGGGGGGGCTCCTACACTGATGACCACCTCTTCGAAAACGATTGGCGGAGCCCCGTACATGTGTCGCAACAGATGGGACAGCGTGTGATCGAAACAAAACAGACAGAACCCGCTCGCTCACTCTTGCTCGCTCGTGCAGACGCCCTCTTCGCGGTGTGGGTACCGACATTGAATTCCTCTCTGCAGATCCCTCCCTTCCCGCCCGCCGTCCCACCGCCCCCGTGGAATCGAACCCCTGCTGCTGCTGCTGCTGCTGCTGCTGCCGCTGTAGAAGTGGTACCAGCACCAGCCGTAGCAGCACCAGCGCCAGCCTTCGGTCGCTTCTTTTTCTTGGGCTGGTTCTTCTTGCGCTTGGACACGCGCGCGCCCGCGTCGCCCCCCCCGGAGGCCTTGACAAGCTCCTCGTTCACCTTGGGTGGCGTCCGGACGGGCGGGGGCGGGACGATGGGGAGGGTGGGACTGTTGTTACGGTTGTTGTTGTTTTCTCTGCGTCAGACCCATGTTTATGGTTTCCAAATCTTGATCTCCCTTTCTTTGGACAAATGTTGACTTTTTCGACCTTTTGGGCAGTCTGCCTCCCGAACGAATGCGAATCAGCTGTTCGACCTTCGAGAATAGTCACAGCTTTGCCTGAGATGTATAGAGATCGCCTAATTGTTTCACCAGGGTCCACGTTTGATTTTTTTCCAGCAGAGCAAGATGTGCACCATTCGGCCGAAAGACCACCTCGGAGCAAATCTTGGGCCAAGATCTGTCCAAAAAGCTGGTGTTGGAAAAATCTTGCGTGAAAATTGCGCATCTTGAAAAAATCAAACGTGGACCCTGGCGAAATATATAGGCGATCTGCAGACATCTCAGGCAAAGCTGTGACTATTCTCAAAGGTCGAACAGCTGATTCGCATTCGTTCGGGAGGCAGACTGCCCAAAAGGTCGAAAAAGTCAACATTTGTCCAAAGAAAGGGAGATCAAGATTTGGAAACCATAAACATGGGTCTCATCAAGAACGTGTCTCTATTCAATGCTTACTTCATCTTTCGTGCAATACAAAAGGCGCAGAAAACGGCATCTCCGTGATCTACAGGCAGGTGAACCCGAAGGCAACGAGAAATCTACAAGAGAGAACAAGAGCATAGCATCTCACAAGGAAGAGGAGCGACAGCAAGCGACAAGTCGTTCTTTCTCGAGATGGATATGGACACAACAAACGAGCAACTGCTGTAGAACACCACCGAAGGGGCGAGGACACCGAGCAGCAAAGACCGAGCTCTAATGACGACGGTTGTTGCCAACAACACACGCCCCGGGAGGGGGGGGGTGTACTCATAGTCGTGCATGCCGTAGTCGTTAGACCATTGACCTCGCATCCCTAGAAAGCCCAGACAGAGCACGCCGGGTTCTCACCGGACCAGGCTCTCACATCACCAAGCGCGAAGCGCCGTGAGGTATTCGGCGAGTCGCATGAGGAGTGCGCTGCATCCTGCTAAGGGTGTTCGGCATCTTGTGCTTACTTCCTTGCGTACGGGTGGCAGCTGCGTATGACTTAATTTACTTTTTGGTGCTTTCACTTCCAGAGACAGTTGTAAGCACCTTGTAACTGCCTCGAGGGTGCTTGACCAATTTCACACAACGTGGTGCGATTATCCCCTTTGCGCGGAGTGAGGGTTCTCGACCCCGCACAACATGATCTACTCGACTACCATTGTGGTTACCGCAGAAAAAAAAAAAAAGGCAAAAAAAAAAGCGGTAACCTGGTTACCGAGCTCACGAAATGATCGGCTTGTTTTACAACATCGCTGCCAAGCGACAAAAACCCAACCCCGATGGCAAACACCGGGGGAGGGGGGGGGGGGG